AGGCCTGGCCTATCTCCATTCCCAACTCCCAGCCCCAGCCTCTCCCCCCCACCACGAGCCTATACAGCTGGCCAGGAAAAAGGGAGTGTAGGAAAGTCTTCCCCGTCCCGTCCCCCACCTGAGGTCATACCCGAAGACGGCTAAAGGAAAGAAGCAAACCCAATGAGGGAAATGGGAGGGGGAACATCCATTCCCCCCCCCCTCTGTAGGCGAGTTTTACCTGAAGTCTCTGCCCCACCCCAGGCAGCAGCGAGGGAGGAGGCGAAGCTGAATAAAAGACCCACGCAGCCAAGAAGGAGCTGGAGTGACACTTCCGCGGATTTCTGCCCCTCTCCCCACAGCCGCCTCACTCGCTCTTCCCCCACCCGCGGCTGCTGGCCCACGTCCCCGAGGAGTGGCCCATGTCCCCCCCCCACCACCACCACAGACGAGACGTTCCACCTCCAGAAGATTCGCCGGCAGCTTTCTCTCTCCCCCCCCCACTCGAGAGGTGTCAAGCAAGAGGGGGCGGGGCCAGCCGCTCACCTGGCAGAAGCGGTAGCAGTAATACTGGCTGCTCAGTGCGGGAGACAGGCCGGGGGGAAGGCGCGGCCCACCAATGGCCTCGAGTTCCTCGCCGAGCCTCTCCGACTCCTGATCGCTCTCGTCTTCCGCCATGCTGCTCCGGCCGCCCTGCGCGTACCGAGCTCCAGCTCGCTCCCCCCGCCCGACTCACCGGATAACCCGCCTCCACAGCCAAGTTCCTCAGTTCCGGCACCACCCCCCACTGAACGTTGTCACTGGCAGGCTGGTTTGTCAATCAGCTGGCGGGCCCGCAACCCCTGATCTCCGTCCCCTTCATTCCGGCGCTGTGCGGATTCTCCGACATCTGATTGGAGCCAGTTTATTTCCATTCGTCGCTAAACTTTCAGTCCCACTTTCTGCTTGGCTGGAGGTCCGATCAGTCAAGGCCTCCAAGCCCCACCTCCGCTCTCTGCGATTGGGTCCATATTTCATCCTTCAAAGTAAACATCTCCGCCTCCTTCTTGTGGGGAGGCTTTCAACGTGCGGAGGGCTTCCTCGCTTTCTCCTCACTGAATGGTGAGAAGCGCCGTCACTCTGTACGTGAGAAGCTATAGAGAACGACGTTCGCTCTTCGCTTCTGTTACTGGGTTTCTAGCTCTTATCTGTGTCTTGATTGGTGGTGCTGTTGCTAAGAGGGCTAAGTCCCGCCCTCCCTGCCCAGCCTGAGAGAGGGAAACAAGCCCCTCCTTTCTGTGTGTCTGGCTGACAGGCGGCTCCACCGAGTCTGCCCCGCGCCGTCGCGGAGGCTCGAGGGGGAGCGCGGAACAGATCGGGGTCCGGCCCTGGCCTTTGTGGGGACGGAGCACTGCGCTGTCCGGAGCTGTAAGATGAGGGAAATGGGGACACATCTCGTCTGAAGCCACTAGAGAGCCGCCCTCCTTTCCCATCTTTGGGTGGGGAGGAGGTAGAAGAATGGGATCGTCTCTGTAGAAAGGGGCGGGACAGGAGGGGAGATTGGTCGGTGTGGGGTAAATGATGGGGGTGGGGGGAGATGTGGAAAAGTCTGGTGTTGGAGAAAAGGCGCCTGGGAGGAAGATAGGATTGATGGAAGGCCTTTCATGGGAGGCTGGAAGGGGGGGGGATTATAATAGGGTTATTATTAACATGAAGGCACACAGTATAGATTTAATATTTTGTAAATAGAAGTTGTATTAAAAGGAGTTGAATATATCCTAAGAAATTGCTGGGAGGGGGGATTGTCTAATGAAACTTATTAGTATAATAAGTAAGATGCAAATTTTCCATGAGATGTGAAGAATTTCTTGGTTCTGAAATACCTTTTATAGGATTATGGTGATGCCCTTGAAGAGTGTATTGCCCAAGGCCTCTCATAATTAACATTGGCCTGTTCTCAAGAAAACTTGGGTGGTACTAACATTTACACGTAGTATAGGGGGCATGATCTGCTCACTTTTTGTGCTTTGTGTCATTTAAAAGTGTCTACTGCCTGTAATGGTAGATACAAATTTAAAAATGTGTGACTTGTATTTTTTTAAAAAGAAGATTGTTCTCTCTTCCTATCTTTTCACTGTTTTGATCAATAAAAACAAAGGAAGAGAGTGGATTATTCACAGCCAATCACCCCAAATCCCGACACAAGTCACAACTCACATCTTGGCCATCTTGGCTCAGAAAGAATAAATCATGGCTCCTGCTGCTTAAGACACAAAAATGTAGGTCCTAGGTGTGAACCCTATAGATGTATGACCCCCACACCATTTAGTCACATCTGACATTCCCATGCACAGACTGCATATTGTCATATATTATTATCACCTCTCTGCTTTGAAAATGTAGCTGCAAAGTATAACAGTCTGTGGTTTTTTGCAAGAAGAGCCCTCAAATACACTATCCATGGCCAAAGACTGCAGAGCAAAAAATGCAACTCCAAAATTAGTGGACTCTCCTGAGAGCCAGTTTGGTATAATGGTTAGGAGTGTGGACTCTAATCTGGGAGAACCGGGTTTGATTCCCCACTCCTCCACATGCAGCTGTTGGCATGACCTTGGGTCAGTCACAAGTTCTCTCAGAGCTGTTCTCTTAAGAGCAGTCCTCGGGAGAGCTCTCTCAGCCCCACCTACCTCACAGGGTGTCTGTTGTGGAGAGTGGAAGGGAAAGGAGATTGTAAGCCATTCGGGTAGTGAAGGGTGGGCTATAAATCCAATCTCTTCTTCTTCTTCTTGTAAATTGGACCCTTACAGGTTTTATGGCAGATTCATATAGGTCCATCAGTTGCTAGTTGTGACCGTGAGTAAAGAAAACAACTGTATACAGATGCAACAAACCTCACTAGTGCTATAAGTCAGCATTAGGGGAAAGCTTGTATGTGGTTTGTATATCCTGTTTGTTGGCTCTCCAAAGCAACTGGTTGGTTGCTATGTGAAACAGTATGTTGTACCACATGGATCACTGGTGTGGGTACAGCAGGGCTGTCACAGCTCAAATGCAGCCCCACAAACCGCATCATAAAAGTTGAACCCATGTTTGTGGTCCCACCAGCACGAAGGCTTACGCTAGAGACACAGTGCTGCCGCAGAACATGCAAGGAGGTGTGATTTTCAGGCAGACATGACTGCTCCATTAATTCGCTGAGACTAAATCAAGAAAAGGAATGCCTCAGATAAAACAAAAACCAGGCTCAATAAGGACAGGAATTCAGGATGACAATGGCTAGGGTGCTTACCTTACTAGATATTTTTCCTTCAGTCCCTGTGGTTTCTGGCTTGCCATCCTCTCACTGCATCCGTCCACGTCTGTCTGAGCTATTACTTTAAAATGTCATACCTATACAATCACACCTCATATATTAATCCAGTTTCCAGTATTTCCAGTACAGTACAAAGTAATGTTGCTTATTTCACCTCTTTCATTGTGCCTTTGTTGATGAACTGTAATCTAATTATTTCCCATTCAGCACACAATTTAAAACAGTCAAATAATTGTCTTCTATAGCCATTCTGATGGAATGTATTGAAGGGTAACTATTATTTATATTTATTTATGTGTGCGATTTCTACCCCGCCCTCCACACATGTATGTATTTAACTGCCTTGAGGATCCACACTTAAAGCAGGCAGAAAGAATTGATGGGGTGGTATGGACTGCATCTTGTTCCTCCTCTATTTCTTACTAAGAGAGAACTCATGTGGAGCTGGGAGGTTTCCTCTGGTTTGCAACACATTGGGTCAGTTTCTTCCTTCATGGGGTTGAAAAGGAAATTGACCAGGCAATGTGTCTCCAGCTGAGCCGAGTTTATATATTATCTGCAGTAGTGCTTGTCTTTGTGTGGTGGAGCAGTAGAAGCCCCACATCCCCTTACATTACATTTCTGTAATATCAGGGGCACGTGGTATACATTGGAAGGGGCAATCATGTGAATTGGGACCTGCAATACTAATTTTTTTCAATATGAAGCTCTTGTTTCATATGTGAAATCTGCGTCCCACCGTTATGTGCAGAAGGGAGGAGGTGGTAGTGGAAGTGATTCCCTCCCCCAAAAGTTCTTGCATAAGCTAGAAAGGTGGTAGGGGAGTATCAGAAAGTTAAAAGGAGCTGGTGATAAGATGTTGCCAGATAAAAAATGACAAAACATCAGTTAAATCATTGCTGCATGATTTCAGGCTTATTTTATGATTTACCCATTTGGCAAGGTGCTTTGTGCTTATGAAGGAAGCTAATGCAGTGGTAGAATGGTGAAGAGACACAGATACATAAACATGTTTTAAAAATCTGAAACACAGAAAATGAGGGTAAGTTCAGTGACTATAGCAGTGCAATCCTAAACAGAATTACACTTTTCTGAGTCCAGTGGGAAAACTGTTACAAGTTTGGAAAAGGCATGGCTCCTGATGCATTTCTGATATTTGTGTTTATCCACTATGTACAAGTTAAGATGCCCACGTTTGTGAAGCTTATTCCTTCTGCCATTTGGATGACAATTACTCTCTGTTCAGTGAAATCCTAAGATGCTGAACAGCCAACAAAAACATCAAATATTATTTATTTATTTATTTATTTTATTATATTTTTAACCTGCCCTCCCCTTCAAGCAGGCTTAGGGTGGTTCACAACAAAACTCAAACAGAATAAACATTTTTAAAAACAGACAAGCAATAATCCAATTTAAAACCCCAATAGCATAACCGCAAGATGGCAAAAGTATTACAGAAGCTCCCAGAGGACACTACGTGTATGCCCAGATGGAATAGTTGATTGGGGGATGGGTGCTAAGCACTGTAAGGCTTGAAAAGATCTTGTACTCTGCACTTCTGGATGAGAGAGTTCATAAATATCTAAATGTTGGGAAAGTGTCCTTCACAAGTGGCTTTTCTCATAAGCAAAGAATCCTTCATTAATACACTCCACATGTTCCCGTTATAAAATGAAGTAACATAGTTGACAGAGTCTGGAGTAGGCATTTCAGCTTATGATAGCACCGTAGTTCTTTTTTATTGTAAATATGATGATATTGTATTGTTACAAAAGCAACACTTGAGAATCCTGTGTGCTCTATATGGGTAGCAAGTAAGGTCTGGACATGTTCTGAGGCTGCATTCAGGAGCTGGTCTCCTTTTATGCTAAGCACTTTGTCACTAGGGGTCACCCTTTACCATGCAAAAACACGTGTGGCTTCTCAATATAGTCTTGATAGTTACTTTTTTGATTAGAATCTATGCAGGTGGTAATATATCCTGTTGTAATTTCAGTAGCAAATGATCATACTTAGTATCTTGTAACACTTGATTAGAAAGTATTTATTTGCCTGGAAAAGTAATTTCCGGGTAGTGAGAAAAGTTCTAGGCCTGGGCGATTATGCAGGAAAGTGAGCTATAGTAGGATAGAAGGTTCAACACCAACCATGCATTTCTATACTCGCACAAGTGTTCTGCGTGATCGGACAAATCTGGATTTAAACTCATAGGTCGACTGGTGCCATATCAAGTGTGACTCAAAGTCTTCTGAAATCAAAAGGCCTCATATTGTTTAAGTAAAATATTACCTAAACTACTTAATTCAAATGCTCTAAAATACAATATTTGAGTCTTCTAGACTGGTGGTTCACTTTAGGTTCTTAACTGTAATTCTGTGGAAATTAATTTAACCATAGCAAACCGGAGTTGGTTGTGTTTCTATACTCCAGTTGGTGTCTGTAATCACAAAGGCTAGAAACCAAGATTGCAATCCAGTGTGGTTGTTACATTGACTTCTTGCAACTTTAGCTTGTTAGTTTTTGTGTTAGATCTCAGAGCCTCTTTTTGCCACATAGGCTTTGTGCCACTGTCTGACCCATTATGTAGCAAACACCATTCTAAAAAGGATCTGTAAAACGACCTTATCTTCAGTTAGTAACAATATTATCAGCACTTCGTATGTTTTGGTGTGGAATAAAGTTTGCATCCAGTAGCACCTTTAGGACCAACAAAGTTTTATTCAAAGTGTAAGCTTTCATGTGCAAAACACACTTCTTCAGACAAATGGAACAAAACCCTTGAGATTTTATTCCATTTGTCTGAAGAAGTATGCTTTGCACACAAAAGCTTACACTTTGAATAAAAATTTGTTGGTCCTAAAGGTGCCACAAGACTCAAACTTTGTTCTGCTGCTTCAGACCAACACGTTTACCCACCTGAATTTTTCTTGGTGTGGAATGTTTGAGCGTTTTATTATTCATCTCTATTTAGTGATGTATTAGAGTGTACCCAGTAGCACAGCAGTGGGGTCTAAATAGATTGGTGAACTACATATTTGAGTTGACACAGGAGGAATACACATTTAATGCATCTCTTCTACTTGTTTTCTAAAATCAGTTGAGAGAAGACAGCAATGGAACGATTTGATGTGAAACCACCTCCTTCCCGGAGTCGTTCCAAGACCGCTTTGTATGTGACTCCGCAGGATCGTGTAACTGAGTTTGGCAGTGAACTGTACGAAGATGGAGGGAAACTGTATTGCACTTTTTGCAACGTGGTGCTAAATCATGTTCGCAAGTCTGCAATCAATGACCATCTCAAATCCAAAACTCACACCAAGCGCAAAGGGGAGTTTGAAGAGCAAAGTGTCAGGAAGAAACCACGGACTCTGACTGCCTCTCTGCAGTGCAATAGCACAGCCCAGACAGAAAAACCCGGTGTCATCCAGGACTTTGTAAAAATGTTTCTGGAAGCTAGCATTCCTCTTGAGAAGGCTGACCATCCAGCTGTGCGAGCATTCCTCTCTCGACATGTGAAGAACGGGAACTCCATACCCAAGTCAGACCAGCTAAGGAAAGCCTACTTGCCCGATGGGTATACAAATCAACTTCTCAAATCTGAAGACCACTGAAGGGAAGACTACTTTGTTGTGGATGTGGAGTATTAAAGTTTCATAGCAGTGGTGTGGCTTATTTTTATATTCATGCACATGCAATGTTATGTCATGGGTTTTGTATAGTAGAAATGACAATCTGTTACAGAATGCAGTGATGTAAGAAAACAACCACCTCAGTTTGGATCTATAATGCTGTTGAAATTCATGGACTTTGGAATGGTAGTAAGGTGCCCTATTGCTGAGTAACAGTGCAGAGTTACAGCCTTGAGTCCACTGAAGTCAATGCAATGGGTTTAGAAAGGTGTAATTCTGAATTGCAGGGCCCATCCCACGTTACATGATAACTGAAAGGAACACACTAGGCACGTTCATAAAGTGGTCTAATTTTTTACTCTAATCCCAAATATGTATGTATATATGTCTATTTATTAGGCCTATATCCTCAGTATAAACATAACTCCATTATAAATATATTTAGGGGTGCTGCATTAATCCAGCCACTTTGGTGTCCATCACTGACTCCACTTCCCCTAGTACAAACAGTTACCGAAAATCAATCTTTTGCTGACTGTGTTTGATTCACTTTATCTGCAGGAAAAAGAATTTATTGGTCATTACTACAAACACTTGTATGGCTAATGAAAGGTACAGGAAAGGGGATGTGAAACTAAAGTACAGCATCACCATTTGGATGGGCATTTAGCTTGAATCCTGTTGAACATGTTTAAGTGAGTATCCAATTTATACCCACAGTTCCTAAAAGCAATTGAGACAGTTTGTGGAGTGTCTATGAATATGAGCTAATGGAGCTGAAAAGTAGGAAATCACAGTAACAAAGGGACAAATTTAATAGATCTTGCCAACATAGAGTTATGCAGTCAATTGCCTGTAGATGGCAGTGTTTTGCAAATAATTCTTCTACAGAGCTTTTTCATGTAAACCTGAGTATGCATACCCATTGAAATCAGTGGAATGTACTCCCCAGTAAGTGCATTTAGGATTACAGCCATCATCTTACACTTATTTCTCTGTCTCCCCAAGTTCAACTCATAACTCTCAGATAACTTTGGATGTGTGACCTATCGGAATACCTAATTTTCTTGAACATTTCTTAGTTTGTAATATTATTTTTCAGCATGAAACAGATTTCCCCCCCCTGTAGTATATAACGTATTCCAGGGAGAAGAGCAGTTTTGCTGCTGGCTGGGTAAGCTATAAATATTATGACCATATTGTTGTGTAAACAGAATGGGTATGATCCAGCTAAAGTAGGACCTTTTTAAGGTTCCCATTGATTTGATTAAGAAAATTAATGCATGGGTGGAATAAATGGGGCTTAGAAAGTGCTTAGTTTTGACTGGATTGTGTTCAAGACATTTTTTAAAAAATCTCAGAAAACTTATTGGAATTACAAGGGAAAAATAGGGCTTTTTGTTGTTTGCTTTTGAGTAAAAAGAAAAAAGCCGTTGAGCAGATAATGGTGTCTGAGGAGATAATGATGTTTGCTCCTTTTCCTATTTTTCCTCCCTCTTTTTAGGGACTTAAGATTGGTACTTTGTATTGTAAAAATCTGGATGATATATATCTCCTTTGTAAAACACTTTTGAATGTTTTTGGTGATAAATTTATATTTAAAAAGAATGAACGGAATTTGTTTCAGGCTTCTGGAGATTACTGACTTCCTTGAGCCAGACCTTTCCTTTTTTTCCCCCTTGCAGTTTTTCATTGCAGTTCTTGCCCAAACTATGCCACTTTTGCAAAAACCCAAACTTTGCTACTTTTTCATAAACAGCTTGAAGAAAAATATGGGGCTCCCCCTCCTAGCCTTCGGCACAGGATCATAGCTTTTGTAGTGATTTCTAAAATAAAATAATATGTTGGCACAGAGTAATCTTTGGCTCAGGCTGAAGACTTGCTGCACATGGGTTCTCATACACTGAGAATATGTTATACAGTGCTAGTATAATGTTTATAACAGTGTGGTCTTTTTTGAGAACTCTAGCAGTGACATTCCAGCCTTGTATGTGAACATGACAATGTAAAGTGTTAAGATTAGATGGGATCTGTTACTTATTATCAAGACAGCGCATAATAATAAATTAGTATTAGAAATGCCCTGCTATCGTTAATAGTGTATACTTCTGCTTTTTTAAAGATTTGCAGCTGTTTTATTTAGAAAAAGAACATGGTTCAATCTTATCTACTACCTCGATAGATGTAGGAATGGATAGGACAGTGAAATGTTTCATAGCAATCTTTTTTGTTTATTTTGGCTAATATAACACCTTTTGTGTGTTAGCTTAAATATAATACAGTGTCATCATCACATCTGTACTTTGTGTTTTCCTTGTCCTGTACGATGCCTGATATCAGGGAACAGGAGCTACCTTCTGTGTATAAGGCAATGGTAAAGCTAGTGCAATGGGTATGCATATATCTTATGGAAACATTACTTTGCATTTCTTTTCTGTTTTTATTCCTTTAGGGCAGCCTCATATATGACTGCTGAAATGCCAATAGGTGGGTGGGCATAAGAAAGAGAGCTGGCGGGAAGTGATGCTCCACTGTACACTTGTGGATTCCATGCATTCCGCATGTAGCTTCCTAAAAAGCTGCCATTTGGCTTGTTATACCATAAGTGTATAAAGAGGATGAGCAGGTGTACAGACTACAGGAAAGGGAGCTTTAAGGTATAACCTTTGACCGATGCCATTACTATAAATCATGGGAGGAAAGCATGGTAAAGTTAATGAAATCTACTTGATGCCCATGGAAAAAGAAATTGCTGTGTTGACCCTAGAAAGTCAAACAGTTGCAGTTGGAAGCCAGAACTTTTTTAACATATAGGGAACCTAGTCACACATTTATTATTCTCATGTCATTTGTGTATGTAAATTTCGCACTGAAACAAGTAAATGGTAATTACCTAACCAAGGGAATATAAATTTTTATAGATTGATCTTGATTAGCCCTTAAAACGTGACGGGGCTTTGAGACTAGACTAAGCTTGGATTTATTTGGGAGTAAATTCTGTTGAATACAGTAGAAAATGCTTCCAAATCAACATAGGCTAAGCTTTTAGAGGAGAGGAAATATCATATTAGGAATTTTAGAGCATTTATTTGATTATGCTAAGTCATTTGTTAATATGTCATTCAGACCACCCAAAGTTTATTGGGCGTAATTGGAAGAATTTTTCAAAAAGAATTTTTGTGAATTGCTATGGTTTAAATTTTATAATTTATTGAAACAACTTTAGATCCAAACAACTTTAGATCCAACCAAGTGCACTAGTTTACAGTAGATGGACAAAATGGATTATGCTTGCCAATGCTCCCTGTAAGCTGTGGAGTCTTGTGAGCTACTGCCATTAAAGCTGTGAGCGAGTGATTTGGCTACTGCATAAATTAGTTTGCTCTGGAGCCATCCTTCCTGAGCTAAGACACAAATGTGAGCCAGAGGCTAAAAAACTGCGAGCTAGCTCACACTAACTCAGCTTAGAGGGAACACTGATGCCAGTTAGGGGATGTCCTTGTACAGTTCCAAAATTCATAATCCAGTAACCACCATATGAAAAAAAAATGGATAGTAAAATATTTAACCTGATTTTGAGTCTTGATTATGATTTTCTTCCAGGATTGAAACAAAGAACACAGTTCCAATATACTACAAGTAGGCATTTATATATAAATTATATGGATAACCTTGCTATCCTTTTATTGTTACATTTTGAATTTACTTCTAGGATATATTTCATTTGCTTTTGCATGTTGAATATTCGTTGTCTGTTTTTTAAAGTTTTGTGCTTACTTTACAAAAATAAAATTTTAAAAGAAATTGTACTGGATTATAAAGGAAAATGTCAAACATTGTAATAATCTTTTAAGTAGAAAGACAGCAGTGATTACTGTTTGTGTCTTCCCCGGTTTCTGCTATTTTGTGCAGAAATAAAAATCTGTCAATAGTGCATTGCATCCCTCCTTAGTGTAATGGTAATTTGAAATTAAGCTCTGCTTTATATTTAAGACATGTAAAATGTACTTATTTGAAGCATATCAAGTGATTTTATTTATAGTCTGCTATTTCTCACTGATGCTTAAAACAGATTACAAAATTTAAAACAATGCAATAGAACCAAAATAAGACATGTAATAAGATTGGTTTACAAACTTCAAAAATGCAGTAAAACTGAAAAAGATGTGACATGAAATGCAAAAACTGGATTACAGAAGTTAAGAAACAGTGCAGTAAAAAAGCATGATAATGGATACAGTGCCATAAATTATAGCCTCTTGAACAATTCCACGTTACTACAGTTCTATTGTCTTTATAAAAATGCCACCCTGAACAATTGCATTTTACAGATGATTGAATTTAATGAATGGGACAGATTTTGCAAATGGAAAAAATGCTACAGCTTTTTTAAGTCATTGAGGTGACAAATGGGTGTGGAATTCTAAAGGATAAACTTAGAGATGTACAGAGCAGTGAAGTTGCCAGTTTCCTCTGTAGTTATGCTAGGAAGGTGGTACTGCTTCCAATCAAATTTATTTATTTTCTTTCTTCATATTTATAGCCCGCCCTTCCCACATGAGGGCTCAGGGTGGGTACCAGTGTTCCCTCAAAGCTGAGTTAGTGTGAGCTAGCTCACAGTTTTTTAGCCTCCGGCTCAGACATTTTTATCTTAGCTCAGGGAGGATGGCTCCAGAGCAAACTAATTTATGCAGCAGCCAAATCGCTCGCTCACAACTTTAATGCTAGTAGCTCACAAAGTAACATTTTTGCTCATGAGATTCCATGGCTTAGAGGGAACATTGGTAACAACATTTCATCAGTACAATAAAAATAAAGTTTCATTACTACAATAAATAATTAAAATATTAAGACACTGCCATATACATTAAAATGGTGGTCACAACCCGAGAGTAGAAAAATCAATGGTTGCGAGAGGTCCTGGCCCATGGTGAGATGTAAATAATGGCCATCAGTTGTTAAATGGGTGACAAGAACCTCAGGGAGGCCATACACTGGAAAGTAAGGGAAATTAGCAGAAAATTATGTTTTGAATAGCAGTGCAGCAGCTGTTCCTCCCACACATGACTAACTGCAGCTGATGTCACATTTGGCTTTTTGAACATTGCTGAACAAACGTGGCTTCAGTGAGAACTCCCAAGAAACAGGCAGCCATTCCTTAAACCCATCTCCTGGAAGAAAGGTGTTTGCGATACTCCCCTCCAAGAGGAAGGAAATGTAGGCATTGCAGTACATGAATCAGGAGGAGGCGCTTAACATTCCATGCCAAAGTGTTTCTTATTTACGGTGGGTGCAGTTAGCATCATTGGAGTCCTCCCATAGGCATTCTGCAATAGCCAAGAGGCGTGCTGTCACACTGGTTTGTACCCAGTCTTCCCACTGCTCATGTTTAGCTTCTTTTCTATCAATCATCTTGCCTCTCCTGTGAGATTTCAAGCTCTATTGCCATGCCTTGCCCTTAGGGTTGCCACCCTCTAGGTTGTAGGTGGCAATCTCCTGGGATTACAACTGAACGCTATGTGACAGGCCAGTTCACCTGGAGAAAATGGCTGCTTATACCCCATTGAAGTCCCCTCCCCAAACCCCATCCTCAGGCTCCAGCCCCAAAATCTCCAAGTATTTCCCAATGCAGAGCTGGCAACCGTATTTTCCTTGCCTCCAGCTAGGTGCATCTGCTGCCTTAAAGGGCCCTCAGCCTGTCCCCCTAGCTCACCCATTAGTGGTCCCTGGTTCTGAGTGGGCAGGAAAGACACCAACACCTGCTGTGTTATCTGTGGTGTGTCTGGCGCGGCTGACAACAACAGCTGTCTTCCTGAGATCTCAGAGACAAGAGCCTATCCCTGTGGACAAGATTCTACCAAATCTTTCCTTTGAAGTAAGTCCATTCGGCAATGCTGTTTTACCTATTGCTTTGTTTCTTCCTTTTCACAGTTGTGTTTCACTTTAATTTCTTACTGCTTACTCAGTTGTGAATCCTTAATGAGTTCTTGTTGAGGCACATGTATGTTTCATGTTGATATTTATTATATTTGCATAATTATGAAATAACAATCATGAGTTGTTTTTAAATGCCTATACTTAGGTTAAAAAGAAAAATAATATAATATACATTAATATATTAATTAATATAGTAATATAATATATTAGTATAATATATAAATATATAATGATATTAATATTGATGAAGAAGTATGCATGCACACGAAAGCTCATATTTTGAATAAAACATTTGTTGGTTTTGAAGGTGCCACTGGACTCAAACTGTTCTACTGCTTCAGACCAACACAGCTACCCACCTGAATGTATTAATAGCATAAACATTTCTTTCCTAACAAGAACCATTTAAAGATTGAGTCATGAACACCTTGGCAACTGAACCAAAGTAGAAGCAAAATGTTAAGAAGCAGTAGTCCT